ACTCTCTGCATTTGCCTCCTTCTTTTACATTTATACCACAACCTTGAGTAACTCTCGGCCCTTGTACTGTGAACCATCGTATAAATATGTTATAACTCAGTTCTAGCAGTTATAACATTGTGTCGTGCTTAGGCTACTCGCTGTGGCGTCATTAGAATTCTCTCCGACTCCAACGGACTGGTATTTACCCAGTCTCCTCATTGAGATGAGATGTGACACACGTACATTCGGGCCAAACGTTAAAATTTGCCCAGCTCCCGCAACCGCAGGATCGGACAATTTGCATTGTCTATTTTTTTTTTCTCAGCCGAATTTCCATCTGTAGACAGAGTTCCCATTGAGTCCTACTCTGCCCGAAGACAGAGAGCTTGACAATCGCGAGCCAAACAGCTGTCTGCCTGACTGACTGATGCACCGAGTTCTTTATTTAAGGCGTCTTGCCTCGTTCATTTCTGTTACCAGGGGTGTCTTATTACTTCACAACAGAATATAAATAAAGAGGTCAGATATTCATATATCGATTATCCAGACATGGTGGGAGGATTGACATCAGCCTATAATTTGATCTGATACCGAAATTAGTTCAATAAATCAGCTCCAATTGACACTCTGAGAGTAATTCCTCCTATTTATTTCCATGGAAACTATAACAGATATAGATCGTGCAATAACACTGTTAGACAGAGCATGTTTTCACTTATAAAATACATATTATATTTTCCATAGTCTCCAACATTTGCTATGCATTTTTCGCAGCAAGAAGAATGTGCTTGTCGCGCTCGTAAACGTAGCTCGTCGCACACACTACCATTGCTACAGCGGAAACGCATTACCTGCTACCTAACTGTCCTCAAATACACTCTTTCGTCGCAATAAAATTTCAGCATGCGTCAATGAATACCAATAAATATTTTTCCGCGCGCCCACTCAAACTGAATGTGAGACAAGGTTGAGTTTCAAGTGGCAGACCACACGTACTTAGATTAAGGATAAAAATTGCTCAAGCCCCTTTGGTATTTGCCTTTTTGATGATGCCTCAGATACCAGATAATGACCCTAGCACCTTCCTGAAAGAGAAGTACTTCTTTGGGGCTGGGGACACCACATTTGGGATCGTTCAAACTGGGACAGATTGAAGGCAGGAGGGTCAGAGGAAAACAACGCATAACCGACCTAGCGAGTGTGAGTAAATGGATGGATGGACAAGTTTATTGGGAGATAGCAAAAAGAAAACATTGATTAAGAGATATAAAGGACAGGAAATTGTGGAGAGCTATGATCGTCAACTTCCTGAAGGGACACGATGCATAGAAGAAGGGTAGATTGTTCTCGTTCCGCTGTCCATCTCTTGGAATATCTCATTTAGTTCTTATGCAGGACGACTCAGTTATCGTTCGCACTGTTTCCACTGAGTTTAAATCTTCACTACTCACAATTTCTCTGTCATTAAATTTACAATCCATTAGGCTCTCAGACTCAATGAAAACATGACGAGCGATAAGTGAATAAAATTAAATAAGGACTAGACAAGAGATCTCTCGATAGCGGAACGAGAACAATCTACCTCCGTAGATTAAATGAAAAGTGCACTTCTAAATTCCCTGAAGTTTACTCGGAATGACAGATACCTGAAGAAGGCGGAGGGCAGAACAGCCGAAATGTTGACATGAGGATATTGGTTTAAATGAAAATAAAGTTTAAAACCAGTTTTCCTATGTGACATAAAACGGAGATATTCTAGAAGCTTCGATCACCGGGGAAGAGGAAGCCAGCTTGGGGGCCCCGGGCAGTGATTTGTGACCCTGCCTATCTTATCAACATCTGCTTTTTTTCCACTTACATTTATATACGTTACAAATTGAACAAAGTATAACTATTAAAGGATGAAAAATTTTCACTCATTTTGACGTTTTTCTAAGGTCTTTTTTTTTTCATCCAATTCCGTGAATTTGTTTTGCTCATGCTAAGTCCCGAAAAAACGCTATGTAAAATTCACCATGTTTTATCCATGATGTTGAATGTGTTAAATTATTCAGCTTTTTAACAAGAACAATTGATGCTAAAAATTGCCGTAAAGCATTGTTGATTTATTTTAGATGGAATTGTATATTAAGATATGTCTCTAATTTGTATTAGGATACTTTTGTGACGTACAGTGGCCGGTAATGATTAAATATAACTTAAGACTTCAATGTTAAGATAAAACGGTATTTAATTACAACCGCAAATAAATACTTAACAAGAACAAAGAAGTAAAAGTCAACCAGAGATAATTAACGATTTCAGTGAATACCTTGTTAGTAGAACGGCTCGGCTTAACGTCCGGTAAATCTTAAATCAAAACCCAAACCATCAATGTACAATAATTCACACTAATTCGACTGGATAGTTCCACTCAATAATCACTACAGTCAGTAGCCTGACATCGCTATTTATACACCTGGCGGAAAATATATATTCATAAATCAAGAGTGTTACGATCGAACCTTGACGTCGGTAGTTACTCATTTTCTTTCTATATGACAGATACATTGCATTTATTTTCAATTTTAATAGTTGAATTGTTCACTTATATTGCATATGTTCCATTATTGTACTTAATTAGGTTGC